GGATATCCATAAATTATTTTCCATGCATATTTGTCTTTCAACATTCTTTAAGTATTGATCGGAAAAAATAAACAAACAAATCTGCGATTTCGAAATTGAGAATTAGTTAATTTTAATATCTTTGCCACTGGAGAAGTGTTGAGTCTTATGTTTTATGCTAAAATTCAATGCTTGGAGTAACATACACATATAATTGAAACGGGTTTAGTTTTATGCATTTATTAAATATGAAAAGGAAAACTCATGACGTATTTCAAATATAAAAATCACGTTTACAAGCTATCTAAGATAGTGGGGAGGCAATGACAGGCCAGAGATTTCCACTTTTCTGATAAAAAATAATGGTTGATATAATTTTTAAGAAATTTCCCATATTATAAATCTGGTAGCTCTTTTTTATTAACAGGCAGTCATTGTTGAAAGTGAGGGTTTGTGATCTTTTTTGTATATTTGTGATGCATAAGAAAATTACATACTGAGATAGGGAAGGGTCTTGTCCCCAAGCACATGTGCTCCCAAGATATATTATCCAATTGTACATGTATATTGCTGACATTTTCTTGAACTAAAACAACACCAGATAGCTATGCATTTCACTTTATTTTGCGACACCCTATGCGATGTTTTTTTCCAGAAATGACTCCCCCCTACTTAACTAATACTGTCTGAAGAGAAAATGCCTTAATTATTATTTTCTATAAAGTTTAGCCAAGTTTGAATAGTTGCATTGAAAGATAAACGTTTGCTTTTGCTGTTTTAACTGTCATAATCCCTACACAAGTCGTAGATTGTGCAAACTATGCATGTTTTAACCACTCGATCAACGTAAATATGAAATCTGCCGAATAGTTTCGCACTGTTTGATAAAACTAGACGTACATGTTAGCCAGAAAAAAATGACTAACAGAAAGCTTAACTATTGCTACCTTCCGTGGGCTAGTTGTTTTTTGTAAATACATTTTACATATACCGAAAAAAAGACGTGGTCCACATCTCCTCTGACTCCGAAGCGGTGAAAATCTACTCTCCCATTCGTTGAAAACGACTCCCCTTACTGTTTAGTGACTCCCCCGCGTTACCCGTTGTATACGGTGTTTAAGGACAACTTATACGTACGAACAATTTCTAAAACAAGGTAAATAATAGACAATCAACCTGTTGAAACAAGAATATCAGCTGTCTTGGTTAGAATCATCATTTCTTAAGTTCTATGGTCGATACAAAGACCTTGTCAGCAAATACATTTTATCGTTTAGTCAAATGATGATTGACGTTTTTTCATTCTAATTATAAGTCCATTATTTATACACTGAATTGATTTTTCCGTTATTTCCTGATCATGACAAGGAGCACAAAACGGGTGTGATCGGTCAGCAGGTGATGCTCACTCCTCCATGACACCTCATCCCAATCTGATGTTTTTGAGGCTAGTAACTATTCAAATCAACAGTTAATTAGACTACTATAAAAAGTAATATATAACAATTCTTAACCTTGTTCTATCAAAATCCATGAGGAATTCAAAATGTGTAAAAATTGCCATAAGGACCCTTTTCTCGTGGGCGCAATCATATGGAAAAATGACGTTATAAAGACAGTTTTGTGTAAAAAAAATTCTTTTAAAAAGGTTAGATAACTTTTTAAAGGCTACCTCCAATTTTCTTTTCATTTTTAATAAGAAGAATGAAAATTGCATAATATATTTAAAAACAAAACATTTCATCATGTATTTTTTTTTATTTTCAATTTCTTTGTTTCTTAGAGAATTTTACAATGTAATTGTGTATAAAAACACGAAAAATGGTCCATATCTTGACAGTTCCCCCATTATACTACAATAAAGGCAAGGTAACAAAATTTCCTTTTTATTTTTCTAAGCATAATACATACAAAAAATGTTGCGTGTTTAACGTTATTTATGGTGTCATTTAATCCAAACATAATACATATTTTCCGTTTCAATTGATTTATTTCCGTTTTGGTGACGTTTGTCAAAGTGGTGTCTCTTCACAATTATCTTTTTTTTTTCATTGAATTGGTAAAAGAAGAAGAGAGAAAAAATTGTTATCTACTACTTACATATATATTTGATCATAATCTAAATTATATTCATTCTTCTAAAAAAAATATACATTGTAATATTTATAACAGAGGAATCTTTAAAACAGGCAGAATGTTTTAATCAGATATCCGTACATCTTCACAAGAAATAACTAATACTCTACAACTTTCGTGAATAATTTATTGTCTAAATACATACCAGGGTATGTTTAACGTTAAATCCTTTAAATATTAGGAAACCCATCCTTATCTGAGAAGTAAAATAATACTTTTTTTAAAAATTGATATCCACTTACATTTAATCCATTTAATCCATTTCAGCTAAAATAAGTGTTTATCTAAATTAGAAATATAAATTTTATATTTAAACAATAAAAAAAAACAATCTTAAAAAAACATATATTGTAGCAAAAAAAAAATGAAAAGGCAAGCATTTATATAAGCATGAAAAATATCAATCTCAATCTTCCATGTTTAAACGCATTGTAGCAGTTGTTGTCTTACTGTTGGATGAACTCTCATGCATGTACTCATACCGATAAAAAGCCAATATTAACTTAAAATGACAATGATTGTAAGATGCCAATATATCACAAAATGAACCATATCAAACCATGTCTTTTGGTAAATGTGGATATGTTTTATATTTTTAGGTCACCTGAGTGAACTCAGGTGACCTGTTCTAACTTATGTCCGTCGTCGTACGTCGTGAGCTGTGCGTCGTGCGTTAACATTTGAACATTTCAGCTTCTTCTCTGAAACCACTCAACCAATTTCGACCAATTTTGGCACAACGTATCCATGGGTGAAGGGGAACAAAATTGTCAATTTCATGGTCCCTGCCCCCTGGGGCTTGAGGGGTGGCCAAAACCACTAAAATTAGTGCAATCTTTAAAAATCTTCTTCTATGCTCCTGGACATCAAGCAGTCAAACTGTATTTCATAAAAAATTGTCAAATCCTAGAGTCAGGGGTTCTAGTGCTAGGGCGGGGCTATATAGATTAGATAGAATGTATTCTTTGAAAATCTTCTCTGATCTTTGGTAACAAACAAGCTATTAACTAAATACATGTGTACATAATTATGATGAGGAAGGATGTCTTTTCAATCATGGCCCCGGGGTCAGTGTTTCTGGTGTCAGGGCGGGGCTATAAAAATTATAGTGAAAATGCAATGATTCTTTGAAAATCGTCTCCTTTGCTCATGGGCATTAAACTAACTAAGTAGTTAGGATGAGGGAGGGTGCCTCTCACAATTATTGTGAATTTCATGGCCCCAGGGTCAGGTTTATGGTGTTAGGGCGGGGCTATATAAATTATATATATATATATACTATAGTGAAAATGCATTAAATTTTTGAAAACATTTTTTCTCTGCTTCTGGGTACTAAGCAAATGAACTACTTATATAGCTATGATGAGCAATGGTTCTTCTTCCAGAATTGTGAATTTTAAGGCCTCTGGATCAGGGGTACCGAAGAGGAGGGAGGGCTGTAATTGTTTACTGAAAATTAATTAATGCTTTGAAATCTGCTTCTTGGTATTAAGCAAAAATTTATGATGAACAAGGAGGGTACCTTTTCCAAAGATTGTGAAATATGTGAACCCAGGGTCAGGGGTTTCTGTGGGAGGGGCACTACTGAATATTGCTGAATATTACTGATTAGTTGGAATGCATTTTTTTTTGTTCCCCTGCTCTGCCTTTGGGTATTAAGTAACCAAACTAAGCGTGCTAAATGTATAGTTATGAATATTTAATTTATTTATCAATTGTTTTAGGTTGAAGTCCTTTATCAGACGTATTGGGGCCCTTTTCATCATGTCTTTATCCAAGTGCTACACCTCCACACCAGAAACAACAAACACAGCTCGACTGGCGAGGCTTATACTGGGTCCGTGTACTGATGTTTTACGCGAAATTCTAAAGACAGAAGTGTTACCATCCGATTTGTCCAGAAAGGTTAAAGAATTTACTAATAAACTTCCGAATAGACAAAGAAATCCACTCAACAAAAAACAATCAGAGACAATTTTCCCCAAACAAACAGAACAATACAGTGGTGATTATTCAGACCTAGACATATCGTTATTGTATTTACTTCTGCGCAATGTGAGTAAAATAGCACCACATTCCAAAGGTTGGGGAGAGATTCCGAATCCTGGAGATAGAAGCGTGGCCGCCAACATTGAAAGAATTCGACTTCTTAGAAACCAATACTACGGTCACGCAGCTGATCTCTCTCAATCTGAGCCAGAGTTTAGACAGGAATGGCGGAACATCCGGGATATTGTAGTGGAGCTAGAGCGACACTTAGGAACCACCACGGTGTTCCAGGATGCAGTCAAAGAAATAAAAACCTGCACTATGGACCCTGAACAAGAGAAAAAATACATCAACTTACTTGGAGATGTTAGAGAACTTCATAAAACTGTGGATAATCTTCCGGGTAAAAAGCTTATTACAATAATTTAGCTTTATCTTACATAATACACAACAAAATGCTCTTTGGGTGCGGAGAAAACATGTACTTGTATATTATACACATCTTATTTATAAATCATCGATGAAAAAAAACAATAACGATCAATTTAATAAATTGTGTTTACAATAATATTCCTATTTATTTGCAGACAAAATGAAGAGTATGCTTCCTCATGGTAAATATAATTAAAATGTTTTTCCGTTTGAATTAAAAAAAAATGTTTAGCCTTTTAAGTAAAATTATAAGTTTTGATATTACATGAATATTATGAATTTAAATGTCTTTGGCTAATTATGACTTGAAAAGAGAAAATATGATAAAGTCCATCTCTGATTTTTATAGGAAAATTACGCTGACAAGCATTAAAACCCTTTTGTCACCTCTGCTGCATAATGATGATTTATTCTGAGTCATAGAACACAGAGGCGTAATAAAAAGGTCACAAAATTGGCAAATCTGGATGTTCTAATTCCTTTTCATAGTTTTATCGAACTTGAAGTAAATTGTGTTTAATATATCACAAAACAAACGCTTGTCTCTCCAACAAATGTATGTAAGTCATGAAGAGTCATACGATAACACTGCCTTAAAATGCTTTTTATTTTGGCAGACGCAAAAATATTTCAAAACAAAAAAAAAACATCAAAATTTACAAAATTCTATGTTATGATCCAAAAGAAACCCAAGTGTGGCTTATGTGCTTGGGTGGAGTCAAAATCAAGTCTCGTTTTAAAGTTTTAAAACAAGTCTCATGAGAAATCAATAAAGGACCGAATTCGACATTTATCATGCTTAATCTTGTCTTGTAGTCGATAAGGGGACATTGAGAGCAAACAAGATTGATATTGATAAGTTTTCATGCAAAATCTTAGATAATTATTTAACATTGATTTATCTACGGAGATTCCCGTTTGTCCGATCATGACAATGAGCACAAGTTTACACCTTTTTGTGCCTGATCTCTGATGTTTTATGGGCCTTTATTTGCTTTGTTTGTGATTTGCATTCTTTATATAGACTTTTAAACTCAAATATCGGTCGTCATTTAGAATAGTCGTACATACGAAATGACAATGACATTCATAAAAATTTATTGAATATGGTGAGGATTAAGGAATCTTTAAAAATCTTTATAAACATAAGACAAGAACATTTCTCAATTATAGCATAGGACTTCCTCATAACTTTGACTTATAGGACTTATTGTTTTTCCTCTAGATCCCAGAGTTGCAAGAATGATTGGTAAGAGAATTCTAATATCCTTTTAAACGATTTAAAAAATACATTTTGTTAACTCAATACCTTTTATGTTCTCAATATATTCTAGAAGACATGAAAACGTTCTACTCAATAAAATTAACCGTTTAGATACAATTCCTAGTGATCATCTGGATTACAAATAGTATACGAGTAGGAATGATGCCCGTTGTATAGAAATAAAACACATCCTATTAAATGTGTATTTCATTCTTTACTTCCGTGGTAAATACATAAATAATTAAAATGAGGAAAGTCTTTTTTCAATATAAAAGGAAAAGTGCAGTAGCGACCGGACACAGCCTAACAGAAATCGTACCCAGAGCGCACCCCAGGTTCGCTCTCTGGTCCGCTCCGGGCTTGCTCGGGGTCCGCTAGAGCTGACCCCGAACGAACTGGGAGCGGACCAAGAAAGCTAACCTGTATCAGATCCCGAGCGCACACGAAGCGGAACCAGAGAGGGAACCCCATATTCAGTCGAGGTCCCAGAGAGCGAATGCACGTTCGGTATTTCTTTACATAGCTGTCAATAAGTATTAGCGATTAACCAATGAGTACGCCAACCAATCAAAATAGCATATTGATCTGTCAATTGGGATAAAAGATGAACATGTTGATCTAATTCAATATGAATCCAAACATTGTACATACAAGCAAAACGTGTAAATACACAGTGTAAATCTATTATTATAATTTTAATATTATTCTATTTTTATTTATTTAAATTATCCGGGTTTTATTTTATACTTATATACACGTATTTATTTTTTTCTATTAAAGCAATTAACAAATTAAATATTCTTATTTCCGCGTATTTATATTCTTTGATCATTCAAACCAGTATTTAAAGTCCATGGGTAAATAAATTGTGTGAATACATGGTCAGTCATTAAAAAAAAGATATCATCAATTGGTATTTTTACTGACAAAAGGGGAGAAGAAAAAAAATCATTGGTATTTATCAATTATTGTAAAATTTCATAATCTCAAGATACTAACAGTACAACTATTTATGTGCCCATTATTTAATAATCTAATTTCCATTTTTTAATTTACGTGTTCCGTTAATTATTCAAAGTTCACATCAAAATTATTGATTTTTTTATTTGTTGCATAAACAAAATTATGTAGAAATATATTTAAAAATACAATTTATATTTTCAAGATAAAATGTATGAGTGAAGAAGATTGGGGGGGGGTCTATTCTAAGCGGGCCAGGAGAAACAATTATTTGTCATTTTATTTTATTTTATTTTCTCATTAAAACCATAAGCAATCCATAAATCTGAGCGTGAGAAATATCTTATATAATTTTTTTTTAAATATCCAAGAAATATTTATAACGAAGTTTCAATGTTTAATTACAATTAATAAAATCTAAATGGTTTAAGTGTTCGAAAGGTAAATGTAATTTATAGATGCCATATCATAATTAAACTATGATATTCCAAAACTAAGGAATAACAAATATAATTTTAAAGTATACATCTGAAATATGAATTAGAAAAGTATTTTGTGTAAGGCTAACTTGAGTTTCTCACTTGTACAACATTCGATACGTTGAAAAATCAATTCAACACCTCAGTCTTCCTTGTCTGTTTTTGTTTTCACGTTATAACTAATGAAAAATAAAAGGCTAATGACCCGCTGTTAAATAACTTTGAATTTCTCGGGATTAAAATTCCAATTTCGTTTGGTGTTTGGTTGTGTCTGTACTGTAATAAAATCTTAAATCGATTTAAATTAAAATTTTATATAGAATGCTTATAAAACAAGTTAGTAATTACATTTTTGTAATACAAAAGCTAAAGTATGAGCTCACACTAATGAAACATTGTAAATTCATTTCATTATACTCTTATTATGCGCAAACTCTATAAGTATATAATAAAATAAATATTTTTATCATTTAAGAAAGTAACTTAAAGTAGTGGAGTGATGAGAAACATTTGGATCGAGATCCGTATCAACAATATCAGACTTTGAATAATAAAAACTGGTGTACTGGTTTATAAAGAATTCAATATTTTTTCAATCTTTTATGTTATATGATATAATACTTTTTGTAACAATGAAATAAATGCGACCAATACTTTCGTTGAAAAAAAATAATCTCAATTGTAAATTTTAAAATCAGTTGATTCAGTTACAAAATTAACCTTTAATTTAAAAATTTCAATGTAAAATAGTAACATCACTAAAGCAAATAAAATGTCCTTATAAACGAGGACTTAACAAGTCTTGAAAGTTTACTAACATACACCCCTAAATGACATTTTGGATATATAATCGGCGTTCTCTATTCTTCAAAACAATCGAACAAATGATAACAAAACATAATAAAGTTAAAGATAAAGACCATTTCTATTGATTTTCCAGATACAACGAAGCAGGTGATAGAAAAAACATTTTGAACTTACGTCTTCTATTTGTAGAAAACCCGTGCGTTTGACAGAGTGAAGGAACTTTTGGACAATCAAGGGTATGTCGTCATCAAGGGAAACCCCGGAACTGGAAAAACCACAATCGCCAAGATGTTAATGAAAGAATTGATGGAGGAAGGGAATTCTCCTCTTCAGCTTTACAAATTGACAGATTTATTCAAGACGTTCTCAGTGGGAGATGGTATAGTGGTATTCATTGACAATTTATTTGGAGAATTTTCTCTGCAGAAGGATGCTATTCAAGAATTTAAATCATTGAAGGAGATAGTAAAAGTGCTGTTTGAATTTGACAATAATGAATCAAACAGATTAATATTGACGATAAGAAACGATATATATCAGGAATATGTACAAAATGAAGGCGAAGACGATTTTTTAATGTCGTCCTTAGTTGACTTATCAAGCAAGGAAAATACATTGCTCAAGAAGAGATCATACAGCTATCGGGAAATTAAACTATATAAACAAATAGAAGACGAAGATCTCATCAATAAGGTGTATGGAATACCATTATCTATAGGGTTCCCACAATGTTGTAAATTGGCAAGAGGCAATGAAGATTTTCAGACAAAACGTATTTAAACAACGTGTTTCTGCCTTGTATACCAAATCCAATGATGTTTTTGAAAGACTATTTCAAGACTTTAATGAAAAGTCAAACTAAAAACTGCTATTTTAGTGTATCTTCTGCTGAGGGGAGGAAAAGTAGATTTGGAATTGATGAATAACCCTCACATGGATTTAGAGATGAAACGCACCTATTTTAGAATTCGTAGGAATACAAAACTCATATATTAACAACAGATTTCCAGGAAAGTATTACTTGTTTTGAGGGTTTTTTACTTATTTATGACACAATAGAAAATACCTATAAGTTTTCCCATAGTTCAGTGCATGAAGCTGTTTTTGCTGTCTTATTTAAATTTGATCCCGAAAAAATGATCCAAACGTGTCATCCTTCCCTACTTCTGACTCTGACGACATGTAAAAACCCAAAAAGCACACAGGTTTTTATGGAGCACAGATTATTTAAATATGTTGTCCATCGCATTGCAAATGTAATTGAAGAAAGGTCTGTAATTGGGTTTTCTTCAATATCATCACTGGAATTATGGAATGATTCAAACTTCCATGAGCACGTATTACAAACGGAACACTGTACTTCGATATTTAAAACATATCTTGATAAAAAGGGTGATGCAATGATTGTGCATTTTTCGAAGGTGGGAAATAAGCGATGGGTTGAGTATTTACTTCCGAACTCAGTAAAAAGACAAAGATACAGATCAATTAACGCTGCTTGCTCAAAAAATCAACCCGATATTGTCAATCTCATCTTGTTATCAGGTGTGGAATGTGATCTTCAAACATGTTTTAATGCTGTACAAAGTGGTAATATTGAGTTATTGCTCCGAGTTTGTGAGTTTGTTGATGTTCATCAAATTTCATCGTCTTTGCATCCTGTCTGGAGTTGTTTAAGGCATAGCTTACTTCAGGAAATCTGTTTTATGCAACAGACACAATTAATTGAACAAGTTCTGGAAAAATATCCATTTCTTGTAGATATTAAAAATGACCAGGGTTCCAATGCATTACAATCTGCAGCAAGTTCTGGAGACAAACATGCATTCAATTTTCTGTTAAAGTTTGGCTGTGATCCAATTGAAAAAGATCGAGATAATGGCCACACTGTTCTTACTTGTGCTTGTCAGGAAGGTAGACTTAACATGGTCAAATATCTTGTTGAGAAATATCCTGCATTACTCAAGGAGCACAAGGATATTCATGGAGGCAGTCTTTTGTATTGGGCGGCTTTCAGTGGAAAAATAGATATGTTTGAATACATGTTTCATCTCTTTCAGAATGAAAATATATTACATATTTCAAGTGACATAAAACATATGGTATACGCAAAAGATAATTCAGGTCAATCTATCTTGCATGCTGCATGTAGCTATGGTCATTTTGATATGTGTGAGTATCTCTTGAAAAGATATCCAGAGTTACTGAATATTTGTGACAATGATGGGAAAAATGTACTCCACTACGCAGCTCAAGGTGGCAACGTGAATATTTTTAAGTATCTATTGAGTAAAGGATTAAATGTCAATTGTACAACAAATACCGGACAGACTGTGTTACACAAGTGTTGTTCTGAGGGAAGAGAGGACATGTGTAGGTATCTTGTAAATAGGTATCCAAGTTTAATAACGGTTATAGACAATAAAGGATTGACAGTATTAGATTCAGCTTGCAGGGGAGGAAGTGTAGCAATTGTCTCTTTTCTTATAGAAAAGGAAATGGACATCCATACCTTGTCAAATGAAGGTAGAAGTATCCTGCATAGAGTCTGTCTCAATGGGAAATATGAAATCTGTGAGTACCTAGTTCAGAAGTATCCCCATCTATTAGATGTCAGGGACAGATGTAGTAATACAGAGTTGCATGCTGCTGCCTGGGGAGGTAATGTTCAAATAATAAAACTATTGATTGAGAAAAAGATGGACATCAATACCCTACGGGAAGACGGTGAAACAGTTTTACATATATGTTGTCGCTCTGGTAAAATTGAGATGTGTGAATATTTAGTAAAACATTATTCAGATTTATTAGAAATAAGGGACAGCAAGGGATGGACAGTCTTACATTCAGCCTGCTGTGGAGGACGTGTAGAAATGGTTTTTTACCTAATAAAGAATAAGTTGGACTTGGATTCCCTGTCAAATAATGGTGAAAGTATTCTACATATAGCTTGTATCAAAGGGAAGATTGAAGTTTGTGAGTTCTTAATAAAGAATTATCCCAGTCTATTAGATGGCAGGGACAAAAATAATAACTCAGTGTTGCATTATGCAGTCTTTGGAGGCAATGTTGAAATAGTAAAACTATTGATTGAGAATAAGATGGACAAGTATACTCGAGAAGAAGTTGGTGAAACAAATTTGCGACAATGTTGTCGCTCGAGTAAAAAGAAGTTTTGTGAATCAGATAATTTTTCAGCATTAATTGAGATAAGGAACAGTGATGGATTGACAGTCTTACATTCAGCTTGCCATATAGGCAGTGTACAAATTTTTTCTCTTCTGTTAGAAAAAGGAATGGATATAAATGTTTTGTCAAACGGTGGTAAAAGTGTTATGCATATAGCCTGTCTCAATGGGAAGTTAGACATTTGTAAGTACTTAGTTGAGAATTATCCTCATCTATTAGACGTCAGGGACAAATATAGTAATACAGTGTTGCATGATGCAGCCTGGGGAGGTAATGTTCAAATAGTAAAATTAATTGAAAAAAAGTTGGACAGAAATGCTCAAGAAGTAGATGTAGATGGTAAAACAATTTTGCATAAATGCTGTCGCTCTGGTAAAATGGAAATGTGTAAGTATGTTGTCAATCATTTTTCAGATTTATTGGAGATAACGGACAATAAGGGATGGACAGTGTTACATTCAGCTTGCTGTGGTGGAAGATTAAACATATTACTTTTTCTAATAGAAAAAAGAGTTGGCTTAAATGGTATGGACATTAATGCCGTCAAAAAATGGAAAAAGTATTCTGCACATTGCTTGTCTCTATGGGAAGTTTGAAGTTTGTGAGTACTTAGTGAAGAATTATCCCCATCTATTAAATGTCAAGGACGAATCTAGAAACACTGTGTTGCATGACACAGCCAGGGGCGGCAATGTTCAAATAGTAAAACTACTGATTGAGAAAAAAACGGACGTCTATACACTACAGAATAAAAGAGAAACAATTTTACATCAATGCTGTCGCTCGGGTGAGATGAAGATGTGTGAGTATTTGGTCAATAATTTTCCAGATTTATTGGAGATAAGGGACAACTACGGATTGACAGTTTTGCATTCAGCTTGCAAACGTGGAAATGTAGCAATTGTTTCTTTTCTAATTCAAAAAGGATTGGATATTAATGCCTTGGCAACTGATGGTGAAAATATACTTTATGTTGCATGTTTCTATCAGATGTTCGAAATATGTAAGTTCTTAGAGAAAAGTATCCCCATCTGTTAGACGTTAAGAACAAATCTAGAAACACAGTGTTGCATGCTGCTGCCTTTGGAGGCAATGTTCAAATAGTAAAACTTCTGATTGAGAAAAAGATGAAGACGTCAATGTCATAGATAAATCTGGGGACACAATTTTGCATAAGTGTGGTCGCTCTGGTAATATGGAGATGTGTGAGTATTTGGTTAACAATTTCTCAGATTTATTGGAGATGAGAAACAATGAAGGATGGACAGTGTTACATTCAGCCTGCTTTGGTGGAAGTGTAGATATTGTAACTTTTCTTGCAAAAAAGGAATTACACATCAATTCTTTGTCTAATAAAGGTAAAAGTATTCTGCATATAGCTTGTCTCACTGGGAAGTTTGAAATTTGTGTATACTTAATTAAAGTATCCCCCATCTATAGATGTCAAAGATAAATCTAACAACACAGTGTTGCATGATGCAGTCTTGGGAGGAAATATTTAGAAATAGTAAAACTTCTGGATAAAAAGATGGACGTCAATTTCCGACTAGAAAGTGGTGAAACAATTTTACATCAGTGCTGTCGTTCTGGTAAAATGGAGATGTGTGAGTATTTGGTTAACAATTTCTCAGATTTATTGGAGATGAGAAACAATGAAGGATGGACAGTGTTACATTCAGCCTGCTGTGGTGGAAGTGTAGATATTGTAACTTTTCTTGCAAAAAAGGAATTACACATCAATTCTTTGTCTAATAAAGGTAAAAGTATTCTGCATATAGCTTGTCTCACTGGGAAGTTTGAAATTTGTGTATACTTAATTGAGAATTATCCCCATCTATTAGATGTCAAAGATAAATCTAACAACACAGTGTTGCATGATGCAGTCTTGGGAGGAAATGTTCAAGTAGTAAAACTTCTGATTGAGAAAAAGATGGACGTCAATGTCATAGATAAATATGGGGACACAATTTTGCATAAGTGTGGTCGCTCTGGTAATATGGAGATGTGTGAGTATTTGGTTAACAATTTCTCAGATTTATTGGAGATGAGAAACAATGAAGGATGGACAGTGTTACATTCAGCCTGCTGTGGTGGAAGTGTAGATATTGTAACTTTTCTTGCAAAAAAGGAATTACACATCAATTCTTTGTCTAATAAAGGTAAAAGTATTCTGCATATAGCTTGTCTCACTGGGAAGTTTGAAATTTGTGTATACTTAATTGAGAATTATCCCCATCTATTAGATGTCAAAGATAAATCTAACAACACAGTGTTGCATGATGCAGTCTTGGGAGGAAATGTTCAAATAGTAAAACGACTGATTGAGAAAAAGATGGACGTGAATGCCATAGATGAAAATGGGGACACAATTTTGCATAAATGTGGTCGCTCTGGTCATATGGAGATGTATGAGTATTTGGTAAACAATTTCTCAGATTTATTGGAGATAAGAAACAATCATGGAATTATTGATGGACAAATTTACATTCTGTGTTTTTGTTTTTTTTCTTTTGTTTTCTTGTTTCATCAACTTCCTTGTCAATATATTTTGTTAATAATGTACATTATCCATTGTACATGTATATAACATAATTTCAAATGAATTTCTTCAAAGTAGTATACAAAGGATTTTAAGCTCACACAAACACACGCCCTCACACACACACACACTAACCCCCACACGCACACACATACACACACACATACGTGTGAA